GTGTGAGCCTAACCCCTCAAGTATGCTTATTCCCTGCCAGCTACTGACTGCAGAAGGGACTCATTTGCATTTGGGGGCCAGCTCCTTCTAATTTCACTAGAAATGTGAGTGACCTTTTGCAGCAGAGACATCACATGAGCATAAATACTACCGCTTTCTTCATACACTCATAAAAGACACTGATACGAGAGCAGCCCTGTGACTTTCTCTAGTCATCTTGTTTTCATTACTGATGTTAGCTACAGAGGGCAAAAATGATGCTCAGGAGAAACGCACAATAGGTCAGCAGAGCTGGGGGCTCCTCCTCCCTCCCCAAGTCAGCTGCAGGCAAGCAAAACCGAAGAGGCTTGCTTCCAAATGCGGATGAGGACACATTTTGATCAGCCCGATGACTACTTTTGCACTTGTTTCAACCACCAAAGTAATTACCCTAAAAGAAAAGGCCAGTATCTCCATGTGACTGCAGCATCTGTGCGGCTGTTTTAATGCAAACCCGGGTCTTTTGGTAATACTGATGACTGCAACATCATGTGAGGGTTTGCAACAAGGAGCAACTCCTACATCGGCGCTGGAATCCGCTGGGCAGACAGGGAGAGGAAGCAGAAGGTCGTTTTCTTTTGTCTCTCTTACAGGAAGAGAAGTCACGTTGGGCTGGCAGCGGTTCAGCTCTCAGCTGGGACTGGGAGCTGCTGGGGAAAGGCTGAGGCTGGAAGTAAGGCAGAGAGGCTAAAAAAAGGAACTTACACACTGTGTGAAAGGGTTGCACCAGAAAGCACGTGAGGGATCTGCCTTCAGGTAACGGGCAACCTTTGGCTCGCTGACTATTTTCATAGGGCTGGTGCTTATATTTAGAAAATCATCTACTACAGGTTAGAAAAAACAGAGATGTAAAACATTCAAACTTCCCCAAATTCACGGCATTAAGCAGTTGCTATTATGCAGGTGCCATCCTCCTCTGCTTACACTGTACGTACCTGAGCATCGCTGGCACCCACTCACTGCACCTCCAAGTCCCAGGAGACTGCAAAGTCAACCCTCTGCTGAAATTCTGAGAATTACCCAATGGCACTTTTTGCCCCCAGTTTTCATTCACACACTGGACAAGGAACACAGTTCTGCAGGTGCTTTGGCCCCCCATTTCTGTATGAACTCACTTGCCAAAGGAAAAGAAAAATTACTTATGTGCCTGGCTGCTAACTTGAAACCGAAACAAAGAGAAGGGCGAAAGCTTTCCTTTTGCACAACGGCAATGCAAATACTGACATCTGGAGAAGGGTCGGTACCGGCAGCATCTGCTCAGTCACCGAGCTGGGAGATAAAACACCGCATCACAGACTGCAGGGCCTGAAATTGCACGTTATCACAGAAATACAGGTATTTCCTTCTACTTGTGTATCTAAACAGGAAAATGCAGGACACTAAGAATATTTTGAATAATTTGTCAAAATTAGTCGCTAACCCAGGTGGTCTACTTCAACTGTAAACAGATTTTGAGGCAAAATATACCATTGAATAAAAAAGTATCTGGCCTGATAAAAATCTGATTCAAGAAACAGATTTCCACGTACGCTTGGCCAAAGCACGACGAGCCTCCTGCCTCTCCTGGGAAGCATGAACCTCCCCAGCCGAGCGTGCCGAGCACTGGGGATGCCGGAGCAGGCACCTGACGGTGTCCCAGTGACCAGCCAGCCGGCCAGAGCGGGTCCCTCGCCAGCGCATGCCAGCAAGCCGGTCGGTGGCGAACATCAGCCCCGCGGCTCCTGGGGAGGGAAGAGCCTGTCTCTGGGGGACCAACCCTTCGCACAGACAGCGCTCGCCAGACCCTGAAGCGCTCGCTCTTATCTATACACGGACTTAACTGCGAATAGCCCTCACATGCATCCACTTTTAATCCCGAGCAAGAACACTTTGTTCCTGTTTGCTTAATCTGCATTCAAGAAGCATGTTTGTGGGGGAAAGAGCTGGTCAAAACATCTTGCAAACAGAGCAAAAACTGGTTAAAAATTACCTTCTCTAGCTGCTTGGGGCTTCTTGCTTTTATTTCTTTTTAAACTGTTAGACAGTTTAGACAGTAAGGGCTCCTAAAACGTTTCCATGTAAAGTTAGACCAGATGAGCCTAAATAATTGTTGAGAGATTTACACTACCCTTATGCTAAAAGCAACTAGCAGATCTCACACCATCCATCAAGACTCTTCATTTGTGGGAGTGATGACTGACAGCGATGGCAGTTAAGAAAAAGGAGCAGTGAGCCCAGTCTTCCCATTTAAATCTAGAACAAAATGCCCAACTACAACTGGGTTTGATTAAAACCAGTATAAGGCACTTCTATTCCAGAGCAGGACTACCTCCAGATGGGGAGATGTGCTGGTGCAGGCATTAGCTTGCTAGTCCACACACTCCTCAACAGCAGCAGCTTCCTGAGCA